TGGGGTTGAGAGTCGGCCTCTACTAAATTCGCTTCTTCATCGCCCTCAATCTCGGAGTCAGATGCGGAGTCACAAGACAGTACATAATCCTCACCGGTATCTGCTTCCACATCACTGCAATCTTCGTTAAACGTAACTTCTTCATTTGAAGAATGTTCATCCTCCAACCAACGCGTGATAATTTCATCGTTTGATGTCATTTTCAACTAAAACAAAAAAAAAGACATTTCCTTAAAAAGTCACATAACTACCTACCCGGAGTCTCTCAGACTCCACGTAAAAGTTTTTTACTTACCAAAAAGCAGCGCGCGCGCATGTGTACTCTGCGAGCGCAGATGCGGAACTGCGGGTAACGGGGTGGAGGTACACGGACGCACGAAGGACAAAGACGCACACATGTAAAGTTATAAACAAAAACAACTTCGATGGAGTCTGAGAGACTCCGGGTAGGTAGTTAAGGGTTAAAATTGAACTTGACTTAAGGTAAGTTCGTTTAATTATGTAATTATACATACATACATACATAAACACTCACACCTGTCACCCAGAGGGGTAGGCAGAGACTACGGACTTCCATTTGGCGCGATCCTAACACACCTCTCTCGCCTCTTTTACATCCATATATCTACGCATACACGCTCGTCGGTTAAGGGTACTCCTAATCTGGCCCATTTTTAATGTATCGCCGATTTGGTCGATAAACCTTCGTCTAGGGCGTCCCTTCCCGACCCTGCCGTTCACTTCTGCAACATAAATTTGCTTTGTCACTCTTTCCTCGTTCATTCTTTCTACGTTCATTCAAGCTTAGTTGGAGATAAGTTAATGAATAAACATATAGGTTCTCATTGCATTTGCACATTAAATTGGAACTTAAAATTATAAGAAAAAAAGATTCAAAGAATACTAAAATTGAAAATCAACTTTTATTAAAATGTTACTTCACTAAACAAAAAATTAAAATAGGTTGCCATCACAACTCAGTAGTAATAATATGTGAATTATAAATATTTTTTCAAACTAAATTTTAATCAAGTAGAGTTTGTCCTGCATACTGTTTTCGCAAACAGGTGATTATCATTTAACAGAGGTGTATTATAATGCCTTGCAAATGTTTGAGAGTTTGCTGACCATCCAACTGTCTTTAATATGTTATCTATTGTAAGTCCTTGTCTTAGAGCACTAGACGTTGAGGCATGTCTAGTTGAATGTGGAGTAAATGTGCTTGTATCAATACCACTTTCGCTCATTACTTGTTTAAGCCACCTACTTATCTTTGTGGCTGCTCTATACGGTTTTATAAAAATATTTTGTGTACTTCCATCCTGATCTCTTAATTTTTTAGTGGTATCAAGGTAAAATAACAAAGTTTTTGCTGGGCAAATCTCAGGCTTTTCTTTAAAATATGGTAGGTTTAACATTGGCTGATGTCTTCTAGGAGCCGATGTTTTAAGTAGGTCTGAAACCAGTATTGTAACATGTGTCTCAGTCACATTTACATCACTCAATTTAATTAAAGATAGTGTTTGTATGCTTTGCCCAGTGCTGAGTACAATCAACATTGCACATTTTTTGGTAAATTTATCTAAGGCAAGTGATTCAAGTGGATATAATTTTTGCAAAAAATTTAGGACTATTGAAGGGTCCCATGTCACCCTATATTTTGGAGATTGCGGTCTAAGCCTATATACTCCTTTAAACAACCTTTATATTGTTTCATCCATTTCCAGATGTGATCCTATTATTAAGGAAAGAGTTGATCTATGGCAATTAAGGGTCTGATAACTACACCCTTTATTATATAACTCTGTTAAGTATAATGATTTCTTATATTTACGCGAACACTACACATTGAATAAAACTATTTTTTACGGATTTTATCGCGTTTAATTAACTTATTTTATATTCCCGACGTTTCGGTTGCTTTCCAGCAACCGTGATCACGGGGACTGAGGTGATTGACGTCCCGATGTCAAAGTTAACCCGGAGTACCTTCAGCTTTTTAATTATTAATTTTGGTCCGATCTACGTTTCTACAGTTTTATTCAATCTGTTAAGTATGTTATTATATATGGCACTGATGGCCTATGGATATCATGATTATTTTGCATATAGTAATGCCACCAATGTTTTAAACATGTATTATACTGTTTTAATGTATTTGAGGACAGAGATGCTAACATCAAATCACATGCTGACTCCGGGGTTTTATTTAGTTGGAACGCTGTCCTGATAATATGCATGCCCCCAGGGTAAGTTGTGCATGGAGTGGGTGTGGTGTCCTGAAAGGAAAAGATAAGAGTTCTAATGAAGGTGGAAAGTAAATTACTTCCGAGTCTATCATTGATTTCATCAATATGGTATCCTAATACCAGGGCTGGGCAGTCCAAACAGGGAAAATAATGATGCCTCTTGCCTTTTCATTCTTAATTTTTTGAATTGTTATTAAAAGAACTGAAAATGATGGAAATGCTTAAAAGTAGAAATCAGACCATCTTAGTGTAAATGCATCTATATTCCAGGCTTCTCGATCTCTTTGCCATGACACATATTAATGCATTTTGTATTAATCCTAGATGCAAAAAGGTCAATATCTGGCTGGCCAAACATTGTAACCACCCTGTTAAATCTATCATCTGACAGTTCCCATTCAGCATCTATATTCCTATTTCGAGACTCAGAATCTAATGAATCTATAAAATTGCAGTTGTATTATCAACTCTCAATAATATTTCACAAGTCTTTTGCAAAACATTTTAAGCCAAAGTAAGCTGCTAAGAGTTCTAAATAATTTATATGGTTTTGTTTGTCTTGAATGGACCAAAAACCTCGTGCCACTACGGTTACCATCACGGTGTACCCAACCGTACTAGAATCGTCTGACCAAATTTCTAATATAAACTGGTTCTGTTTTGTTGGATTATATGTGGTATTAATCTTATTTTGCTACCCTGATAAATAAAACTTCACATTTTCATTTATTTTCATTTCTTTTTCATAGTCTCCGTTTGATCTCTGTAAAGCTATGTATTTCTCCCTCTCAAATATTTTTGTGTATACAAATCCATATGATACTGCCATACATATAGATACAAAACTACCTACCAAGGCAGCAAATTCTCTAATAGAACAGTACTTTAATTTAAGAAATTTATGTATTGTAAATAATAAAGATTTTCTCTCTTTATTATCTGATCTTTTTATTTTCTGTGGGTTTTAATATCATTTTTTGTGTATTTATGACAAAACCTAAATATTCTCTTTCTTGTGATGGAATTTAAAATTATTATTTTTTCATATTAATTACAAAACCTAAACACTGGAGTAAATTTACAGTTTTATGAACATTGTCTAGGCACTCTGCATAAGAGAGTCCTATGCAATTAAGATCATCTAAATAGGCAACATTTATGAGGTCTTGATTTCTGAGATGTTCTACTACCGGTTTTAATAATTTTGTAAAAGTATATGGTGCAGTAGACAATCCAAATGGTAAACAATGAACTCATAAAGAATTCCTTTATATTTAAAACGTAAAAACTTTCTGAAATCATCATGAATAGTAATTAAATAATATGCATTTTGTATATCTAATGTACACACATAACTGTCCTTAGTCACTAATTTGCATAAGGTACGAATATCTTCTAATTTGAAATGTGGAGGATTTATGAATTTATTTAGGGGCTTAAGATTTAAAATAAATCTATGTGATTTATCAGGCTTTGGAATACAAAAAATACCTTTTACAGGAGTACACTGTGAAATAGCATGTAATTTCATTAACTTTTTCTGCCGACTTCCAAAAAGGAGCCGGTACTCAATTCGACTGTATGTTTTTTTTTTTTTCGTTTTTTTTTTTTTTTTTTTTTATGTGTGTTACCTCAGAACTTTTTTCTGGGTGAACCGATTTCGATGATTCTTTTTTTATTTGAAAGCTGGTACTTCTCGTGTGGTCCCATATGAATTTGATCAAGGTCAGACCAATAGTTTTTAAGTTATTCTTAAATAACTTATATTGAAGTCGGCTGTACAAAATTTTTAATTTTAAATTATAATTTCTATAGACATAATCCTATCTTCTAAACCTGACAACTTATCATTCAGTGGTAAGCAATTTTGAGTTGGATTATCAATAAAAGGGATTTTATAGCCCTGTATCCATTATAAAATAGTGTTATGATTTGTAAGCTTATTCCAACAGTTATAAAAATGTTTAATTCGACCAGCAAAATGTATTACCTCTATGGGTATTTGGCACATTGTTGTCTGTAGTAGAATTTTGCCTTGGCTTAAAAGGTTTTGGAAAGATTTCTTTAGAAGGTTTGAAGCAGATTTTTGTAAAATTGTTGCACTCTTTACACATTCACTCAATTTCTCTCCAAATAGGAATTTCTCCCGTTTGAGATCCGCAAGAGTCTTCGATATGGTCTTACCTAAGTGAGGTATTAATATTTTTTTTCTTATTACCGTATCTTCTGAATGGAGGTCGGCTAGAATCCTGGCCGCCTCTGTCTAGTTTTTTATGATATCTAATTTATTATACTTTTGTTTGGTTAAATTATCAACACATTTTAATATTGTGCCTGTGACTAATCCTAATAAATTTTGGCGGTTCTCAATTCTTTTATCTCTTGTTTTCACTGACTCCTGTATCATGTGTAATTCAGGCTTCAGTAGTGGTGCCTCTAAAAAATGGTATTTTCTGGTATTGGTTGTTCTTTTTTATATGTTTCAATTTTTTCTTTAATCAAGCCTTCCATCAAAATCACTTCGACTCTTTTATGAATCTCCGGGTGTATTGGTTGACCATAAGAAGATTCAGTACTAATCGGAGGATCTATGGCTTCTATAAAATAGAATAGAATAGAATATTTTTTATTCAATGTACATTACATGTGTAATTCTTATTGAAAGTCATTTTTTACTTTACCATTGGTTCGAAAAAAAACCCTCTGTCCCGGGAAGAACCAGTAAGAAACCCAGTGGGACTTTTTTTTAAAATAAATTTTACAATATAAATGATTACGAACTATTTATAAAATTTATTTTAGAAACTGCTTGGAAGCGACCACCTCATTCCCAGGGGTTATTATCAACCATGTATTCATTTATACTATAATAACCCTTTTTATACAGTTTCAGCTTAACAAAACATTTAAACTTGGTAATAGAGAGAACCTGTACACTTTCCGGGACCTTCTTGTAATAGCGTATACATTGCCCCAAGAATGAATTACTGACTCGAGTCGAGAAACTGGCATCACTAGCTTGTGTTTTTTTCCTAGTGTTTACAGAATGTATATCACTTTTTTTAATAAAACTATCTTTGTTTTTGTGAACATACATTAAATTTTCGTAAATATACTGAGAGGCCAAAGTTAATATATCAATTTCTTTAAATTTATCTCTAAGAGACTATCGGTTTTAGACTGTAAATAGCTCTAATGGCCCTCTTCTGTAAAACAAAAATAGTTTCTGAAACAGCCGCATTTCCCCATAGCAAAATCCCATAAGACATTATGTTATGGAAATAACTAAAATAAACTAATCTAGCTCTCTCGACAATAGTGAGACCTCTAATCTTTTTTACAGCATAGGCTGCAGAACTTAGTCTGCTTGCTAATTTGGATATATGGGGGCCCCACTGGAGCTTTGCATCAAGAGTGATGCCAAGAAAAACAGTGGATACAACAGGGCTCAATTCCTTCCCATTTAAAAACACATTGGTATTCAGATTTTTAACATTCGTTGTTGTAAATTTAACACAATTAGTTTTATTTCCGTTCAAATGCAGATTATTAACGTTAAACCAATGCACTAATTTTGATATAGCATTATTCACTTCGTCACATTTAAATGATTGACGTTTAAGTTTAAAAATCAAGGAAGTATCATCAGCAAATAATACTATATCATGACTATCCCCTACAAGGTGAGGTAAGTCATTAATATACACCAGAAACAGGAATGGGCCGAGAATCAAGCCCTAAGGAACACCCATTAGTACAGGTGACCCGGAAGAACTTTTACCATTGGTAATAACCTTCTGATTTCTATTACTTAAATATGAAATAATAAGTTTAAGCGCTGTGTTCTTGACACCATAGTACTGTAGCTTCCTGATTAATGTCTCATGGTGAACACAGTCGAAGGCCTTGGAAAGGTCACAAAATATACCCAAACCATCCTCTGAATTCTCCCATGCACAAAAAATATTTTTAATAAGCTCAACCAAAGCGTCAGTTGTCGAGCGACCCCTATAATATCCTCTTCTAAATGTTCTTCTTTAACTTCCATAATTTCTACCTCCTCCTCCTTCCCTGGTTCGATATTTTCCAGAGTAATCTCCTCTTCTGATTCAATACTTTCCACTGAAATTTTTAGTATTTGTATTATGCTAATTTTCTTACGAGGGCGGCACTGAAAATTTTAGGAATCAAGGAAGTGACACAACATTACTATTTAAAAATGTATTTATTGCTTTTCGAAGTATTCTCCGCGAAATTTGACACATTTTTCCATATGATGGAACTCTGTCCACGCAATTTATTCTTTATTTTAGGGAAAGTATAGAAATCATTAGGGCTTAGGTCGGGGCTGTACGGCGGATGGTCTAATAATTCTGTTTTCTTGCTCTAAAAACTCTTTTGTTCTGTGTGTGGTGTGAGAACTTGCATTTTCTTGATGGAGGATGATGCGGCGGTTGCAGTTCTCTTTACGGAGTTCAGAAACGACCTGTGGCAAACAAATGCTAGCATACCATTCTGCATTAACCGTTCTTTGTCCGTCAAGAGGAATAGTCGTACCATGGCCGGTTTTGGAGACAAACGTGGCCACCATTTTTGTTGCAACACTCCGTGAACGAACAATTTTTGTTGGCTTTAACTCATTTTCGAACACCCAAACTCGTGACTGGTTTTTGTTTCGAGTTCGTACGCGTATATCCAGGATTCGTCACCTGATACGATGTTGTATACAGCATTTGAGGATCCTGCGTGGAATCTTTCGAGAGTTCTGACGCACCAAGTAACGCGAGCCGCTTTTTGCTCTTCACAGAGCGAATGTGGTATCCACCGGGAAAACAACTTTTTTACACCTAATTGTTCATGCAATATTGTTTGTATTTGACTCATGCCAATGTCTAAAGTTGCCCGAATTTCGCGGTATATCACATGTCGATCTTCCTCAATCAGCTTACGCACAGCATCAACGTTTTCTTGGGTGACTGCAGTTTTTGGACGACCTTGACGGGGATCATCACTGAGCTTGAAACGTTCACGTTGAAATTCAGCAAACCAGCGATAAATTGTGGTTTGGATGGGGCTTCATCACCAAATGCAAAAATCATCCGGTCAACACACTGTTTTTGTGTTAAACCACTTCGAAAGTCATAATAAATCATCGCTCTTGAATTTTCTCGAGTCAATTCCATTTTCTCAACGACTAAACAAGTTTGACAAAACCTTGTGACAAGACCGAGAATCTTTTTTTAAATAAATAAATGGTATTCGATTTTTAAAACCAAGGAGTTTTCAATTAAAAAGATTTTAATATGACAGGAACAGTGGAAATATTCCATTTCCGATACTTTTAGTGCAGCCTATCTATTTAGGCCTTCTTTCTCGCCCCCCTTTGTTTACAGAATGCACATAAATTAATGATAGTCAATTGCTATAGTACCAATATAATGGTTTAATAGTGACACTCACTTTAAGAGGCTTCCATATTAAATAGTATGGCATGACTATTATCCCCACGGGATAAGTCAAAAGCGACACTTGCTTTATGAGTTTGTGACATATTGTATCCAGGCATATTATGACTGGCCGACTAATCCCCACGGGATAGTCTCAAAAGTTTATACACATAAAATTTTATGTTTTGGTTGGAGGATAAGTAAACCTCATTTTAAATTCTTTATAAAACATTGACGGTCTAAATGCTAATTTTAATTCCTTGTATTATATACGCAGTGAAACCTTTTGTATTAGAATGATATGGTAGGTAGGTATACACAGGTAGGTATAGGTATACACGATTGACATTATGGTTCCTGTAATTATACCTAGCGGAACCCTTTGCATTAGAAGCGTATATTTATTAGAAGGTTTGGTAACCATAGTTGACGTTATAGATGCTAAACTTATCCATGTATTCACTGGGAAGCAATAATGAATAACATCTACGCTTATCTGAAACAAATAATTAATATTATGTTTTCTAAATAACTAACACTGTTGCGGTAAACTCTACGTGTTTCTGAAACAGTTGCCGAGCTCCCCACAGGCGGTTCCATTCAGTTTCGCAACAGATGTTTACGAGTGTACACATACTGCTTCGTTTTACTTGTTTAAAAAATGGATATAGTGTGGGACGACGAAACAACTTTTAAATTAATAGAAATATTTGAAACAAAGAGTATTTTATGGGATAGCTCAAGTAAACATTATAAAAATAATATAAACAAATGTGAAGCCTGGGAAGATATATCAGCAGCTTTAGGAATCTCAATGCAAGACGCAAAAAGTAAAATAAATAGATTGCGGTCCCAGTTTGCGAGAGAAAAAAAGAAGATTCTATCATCGATAACAACAGGAGTTGGGACCGCACATTCCAAAAAATCCAAATGGAAATTCTATGATGCACTAAAATTTCTGTCGGATGAAACTATTAAGACAAGCGGTAGTGAATCAGATACCATGAATGAGACGGTAAGCGAATTATTCACATTTATATATTTAGGTATTTGTTTTTCTTTAAAATGATGGCGTTGACTTGGTTTTACGAGTATAGCTAGATGTTGGTAGATATACTCACCGCAGCCACGCTTGCGTACTGGGAGGTGTTTACGTTTTGTGCGACTGTTGTAATGATTTGTTGAAACTGAAAACGAATTTTCAACTTGCAATAACCTCTAAGATACTCATTAATTGGGATAAAGGACAATTTTAAAGTACATTTTTTACTTGATGTAACTAACATTTTTGAACACGCTTGGATTAGAAGGATGGGTTGAAATATCACCATAACTTCACAACGATTTCATTATTTTTTATTCAATTTTGAAAAGACAAAAATAGTCACTGTTGGTTATGCTTAGAAGATAGACACAACAAGCTAATGCGGACTTTCCTGTAGGTCGTTTTAAGACTTATAATTAAATCTATAGTGCATTATTTTAATGTATCTTTATTGGTTTAGTCCATGTCTTTTTACAACTTCATTACGTAACTCTACTACCTTTTATTTTAATGAAAATTATTGCATAGTTCAAAAGAACTAAACGCACATACAAACTAATGACTTTTACACTATTTGGATATTTAGTACAACTGAATTACGGCATTTGAAGTCTAAACATTGTATTTTGAGTTTAAACAAAAGGATAACAGAAACTTATCGGTTATTATTTCGGGTCGCCATCAAGTTTTTTTTTTAAGTGGTAGAGCCATTCTGCTGCTACATTATGGTTGTACCACGAATGGGTCGGCTCAATCGAGGAAGGACCACCCTCTTACTGAATACCAGCGTACAATAGCAGCTCAATGCTGCTGTGTTTCGTATGGTGAGTGTAGAGAACCGAAGACCCTTTTACTGGAAACGAGGCATTCCATCTTAGTCCTCAGGGGTGCCAACGCATTTGCATTTGATTCTTAATGGAGGATAGATATCTATGGGCCACAACATCCACTTACCATCAGGTGGACTGTGTGCTTGTTTGTCACCCTTATTCTATTAAAGTAGTTCCAGAACCAGTTCGTCGTCCGTTATCTGAACTCCAGTATTTCCATCTGTTTCGATTTCGACACCAAAGTGAATGAAGGTCACGGATTTCTGATCTAAATAAAAAAAAAAGAAACTTAAGTGGAAGGAAGAGTTACTTAAGGCGGATTGCCTTTAAGCGTGTCCGTAATTTCTTTAAACTTGCGAGAATTATTCAACAAAAACAGCCTAACACTGACACAAAATATGAAGAAGTTAGGTCAAATAGGAACTGACCATAGATCTGTAGTTAAAGTATCTTCGGAAACAGAAGGAAGATAAATATCTATGTATATAAATATTTTAAAGACATAATTTAAAAAAAACGTGTGTGTGTACTTGTGTACGCACGTAAGAAGTTATACTTCTTTAGCGTAACAAAACAAAAATAAAACACGTTTAATAGATTCATATATATTTGAATAACTACCTTGAATATAGTTATCAGTTCTCACGAAAATTTGACAGTTGACAGACAATTACCAACTGAAGTTGTGGTTTTTAAGTTTCGGTGTGCGCGCGCATCGTAAAAACTTCACGCTCATAATTTTTCTCAAACGCGCCAAAAGAAATATAACTTCAAAAAGTTGTAGGTATGTTTAAAGTCTCACGTCAACTTATTAAAGTCCACCGCTGAACACAGGCCATCCAAATAAGTTACCTCATAGGGAAATGGGGGAGAGGAATTTTGTCACAGTTGCTTTGTTAGCTACACTCAGCGGGCGGCCTGACGTCCGCCGTTTTTTATAATTTGTAATTGTTATCAGGAAGATGCTGCTGCCCATCTCCTTATTCAGGGTTGGCTCTTACGACCCCATACGACACCTTCGGTACAATATGAGGTAGTGGATATTCTACACGGTTAAGTAGCGTGAAGTCAATTACTTATTAACAACTAACTACAAATAAATTCCACAGTACGCGAGCACCGCACAGTACCCGGGTTCGATCCCTGCCGGCACCAATGAAATTGTTAATTGCAATTTTAAGTGCTGATTTAGCACGTGCTCGGCGGTGAAGGAAACCATCGCGAGGAAACCTGCATGTCTGAGAAATAACGAAAAAAATATATTTCGAAGACATGTGAAGTTCGCCAACACGCTCTCAGAAATGAGAGGAGGCCCTTGCCCAGCAGTGGGACGTATAATATAGGCTGTAACTCTAACTTTAAATAGTAGTGAACACTGTCACTATGAAATTAACCCCTCTCAGAAATGGTAGGAGGCCTGTGCCTAGCATTGGGGCGTATATAGGCTGTAACTTTAGCTTTAATTATTACTATTATTAGATACTTCAATAAAGCAACGAGTGATAGCTCCAATAAAGTGTAGGAAAGTCCATAGATAATACATTGCACTCACGGACCTTCTCTTTCCATTATTCTTCGCATTTATACGTGGTAAAGTCATGCAGCATGACTACCACGTATTGAATTGTTAAAGATTAATGTGCATATATCCGCGTGATGAAATAAAATGTGTTTTCAAACGTGGTAGAGCCATGCTGCAGCTATATTAGTAGTATAGTTGTATCACGAATCGGTCGGCTCGACCGGGGAAGGACCACGCTCTCACAGAATATCAGCGTAAAATGGCAGCTTGACACTGCTGTGTTTCGTATGGTGAGGGTAGAGAACCGGAGACCAATTTTACTGAAAAAGAGGCATTCCATTTTAGTCCTCACGGGTGACGACATATCTGCATTTTGTTTCTTTATTAAGGATAGATGTAGATGTCTATGGGTCACATCAAACACTTACCATCAGGTGGACTGTGTGCTCTCACCCTATCCTGTAAAAAAATCTCGGAACCTAAAATAATATGCATGCACTCAATATTACAGACAAATCAAGATGATGTCCAGGAAACCGAGCAGCAGGATGCCACGATGTCAGCTCCGCAACCACAGTCAACACAGCAAGCACCATCAAGTAGCCAGAAGACGGGCAAACGAAAAATAGATGATAATCTAAACGACTTATTTATAACTGTTAAATCCGCGAAAGAAAAAATGATTGAAATTAGAGATGAGTATGATATCTACGGTCAGTACGTGGCTTCAGAATTAAGGGCGGCAAAAAATGAGAATGCAGTACTTCAGGCCAAATCATATATTAATAACATATTAATAGACATGAGGATGGGCAAGCTACACAGGTTACGGATATCAAAATCTTCACGAATCTAAATGAAACTCATGAAACTACATCGTTATCAGCAAATACTGCAACACAAGAATTTGTATACGTTAAAGAACTAGTTCCAGAAATGGAATCAGTCATGTATATACACAGTAATCTATAAGTCAAGTAGACTTTTCTTTATCACTTAGCAAATAAAAGGATTTTGTTGATAACTTAGTTTTTTTTCCTTTTTTATAGAAGAGGGGGCAAACGAGCATGCGGCGACTGATGCTAAGTAACTACCGCCGCCCATGAACAACCCAACACCAGGAAACCATGTTAATGTTATCAGGAGGTAGTTCTCCACCAATACATGAAGTTGAAGAGCTATGCTGTATCTATATTATGGCCGCAGTACGAATGGGTCTGCTCGAACCAGTAAGGATTACGATTTCACCAGAATACCAGCGTAAAATAGCAGCTTAATGCTGCTGTTACGTGTGGTGAGTAGGAAACCGGAGGCACTTTTTACTAGTAGATAACTTGGCATTCCATTTTAGTCCTCAGCGGTGACAACCCATTCTGCGTTTAGAATCTTAATCGACTTTGCATCCATTTACCATCAGCTGTGTATTTCATTTGTCACCCTTATTCTCTATAAAACATGTATGTTTACTTACTTTACATGTAAGTTATAGATGCATTGTCATCATACTGGTTCTCGATTAGGGATATTCCTATATGCAGGATAGGGAATTCCTGAATGCATCGCTAACCTAAAAAAATATCATTATGTTGTGTCAAACTTAATTGTCAAGTTTCACCTGTAATGTCACAGTGGTCACTGCTTTCGCTTTAGGCCGCGTTCCGAAGACACGCACCCGCTACGCGACGCCACGCGCGTCAGCACTCGCGTCTAACTCGCTTTGAAATTTGCATATAAGTCTTATGGCAAATAAATAAATCTGAAATTGCATTTATCGACGTTCAACCGCACACGCCACGCACCCGCCTCGTTCCCGCTCCGCGCCGCCCCGCGCTAGCCACGCACACGCTCTGCACCCGCCCCGCGCTCGCCACGCACGCTCTGCACCAGCCCCGCTACGCCCTAAGCCCGCGCTTTTTATACAATTTCAGATTTATTGATTTGTCATAAAACTCAAATTATATGCAACAAATTTCATACCGAGTTAGTCACGGGTGCTGACGCGCGTGGCGTGCGCGTAGCGGATGCGTGTCGTCGGTATGCGGCCTTATTTTGTAGTGGCGTAATCGGTTGTCGCATAATAACTATTCTATCGAAATTGCTATTCAACTTGTTACTTTTTCCCTTGCTGTGTATACCCACATAATTTTGAAACAATATGTAAATATCTACACATATACAAAAAACATCGATAATGGTCAACATCGATGTTTTGAGTTGGCTAAACATCGAACATCGATGTTTCTGCAACATCAATGCCAACATCGATCATCCCTATTCTCTGTACACTTCAGAACAGAACACCAGTGCAAGCTCTATTTGGCAGTAGAAATTGGTAAGAGGGTGAGACCTACCAAGGCGGATTCCTGGTAAGAAAAGGAAACCAACTACTTAGTAGATATCAGAACATGACATTTCTTTTTTTTTAATATAAATTGGATATAGGCAAAGGAATAATTTTATTTCAGCCTAGTATTATATATATATATAATTTTAATTATTATTATTTTATTATGAAGAAGGATTTGTAGAAATAAAATGCATTGTATATATTATTTATTATATGATTTATTTTTTAACTTTTTTAAACTCGTTTAAGGCTTTTTTTTGCATTGGTGGCAATGTACACTTTTCGGTTCTAATGATGTCCGTGCCTTTCAGAATCACATCTGCGGTATATGCCATAAGAGTAAACATATAATTGCTCTCTTGCTGCTTGCACTTGAATATTTTCAGTGGAAAAGTTCTCTTCAATACATTCGATATCCAGTGTATTGAGCTGGAAAAAGGAATATTTAAATATATAAATTACAAAATGATTTCTTATATTTACGCGAACACTACACATTGAATAAAACTATTTTTACGGATTTTATCGCGTTTAATTAACTTATTTTATATTCCCGACGTTTCGGTTGCTTTCCAGCAACCGTGGTCACGGGGGACTGAGGTGATTGACGTCCCGATGTCAAAGTTAACCCGGAGTACCTTCAGCTTTTTAATTATTAATTTTGGTCCGATCTACGCAGAATGAACTAACTGTGTCTTGAAGTCTTGCAGTGGCATGCTTGGGTTTAGTTTTAATTTTATGAATTACAGGATCCCAAGCAGGTGGTAGTACCCAGCCTCCCTCTCTATTGAAATTAGGATGTTTTTTAATTTCAATAGCCTCACGTATCATCCTTGGCAGGAATCGATGTTCTTTCACGAGGACTTGTGGTTTATCAAATCTAATGTAATGGCGGGGGCCGTCTAGGATATGATCACAAACTGCAGACTTCCCGGAACGTTGGTGCTTCACGTCAGCTATGTGTTCTTTTACGCGGGTTTTTATTGATCGTTTTGTTTGCCCTATATATGAGAGACCACACTCACAATCAAGCTTGTATACTCCTGCATCTTGTAGAGGAATATTGCACTTGACGGATGGTAAGAACTGACTAATCTTCTTCGGCGGCTTGAAGAATGTTCTAATAGAAGCTCGCTTCAAGATGTAGCCAATCTTGTCTGTGACACCTCTGACATATGGTAGTACAGCAGGCACACGCTCGACTGTGGCCGGCTTCACTCGGTCACTGTGACGTAGGCGCGGAACCCGAAGCTTGTTGTCGTGCAGAACCTGCTTGACGTGCTGAAGCTCGGCGGCCAGGTGTTTGCTGTCACAGATCCCTCGTGCTCTCTGCAACAAAGATTTGCCCACGGTAGCTAACTGTGAAGGGTGATGGTGGGATTCACCGTTTAAGTATCGGTTTGTATGGGTCTTTTTTCTATACACAGTGTGACCTACGGTGTTATTAGGATTTCGAATGACTAACACATCTAGGAAAGCTAAAGAATTATTTGCCTCTAACTCCATAGTAAATTGAATTTTAGAGTTTATGGAATTAAGATGTTCTAAAAATGCAGTTACTTTGTCTGATGGTAAAATTGTGAAAGTATCGTCTACGTACCGCTTGTAGAAACTTGGAGTGCAAGCAGGTTCTGCACGACAACAAGCTTCGGGTTCCGCGCCTACGTCACAGTGACCGAGTGAAGCCGGCCACAGTCGAGCGTGTGCCTGCTGTACTACCATATGTCAGAGGTGTCACAGACAAGATTGGCTACATCTTGAAGCGAGCTTCTATTAGAACATTCTTCAAGCCGCCGAAGAAGATTAGTCAGTTCTTACCATCCGTCAAGTGCAATATTCCTCTACAAGATGCAGGAGTATACAAGCTTGATTGTGAGTGTGGTCTCTCATATATAGGGCAAACAAAACGATCAATAAAAACCCGCGTAAAAGAACACATAGCTGACGTGAAGCACCAACGTTCCGGGAAGTCTGCAGTTTGTGATCATATCCTAGACGACCCCCGCCATTACATTAGATTTGATAAACCACAAGTCCTCGCGAAAGAACATCGATTCCTGCCAAGGATGATACGTGAGGCTATTGAAATTAAAAAACATTCTAATTTCAATAGAGAGGGAGGCTGGGTACTACCACCTGCTTGGGATCCTGTAATTCATAAAATTAAAACTAAACCCAAGCATGCCACTGCAAGACTTCAAGACACAGTTAGTTCATTCTGCGTAGATCGGACCAAAATTAATAATTAAAAAGCTGAAGGTACTCCGGGTTAACTTTGACATCGGGACGTCAATCACCTCAGTCCCCCGTGACCACGGTTGCTAGAAAGCAACCGAAACGTCGGGAATATAAAATAAGTTAATTAAACGCGATAAAATCCGTAAAAATAGTTTTATTCAATATAAATTACAAGTTTGAATATGTGCACTAATTGTAATTGTTGTTGTTTATAAATGTTTGCATAGAAAATGTCAAGACAAGAAGAGGCCATTGTAATCAGATAAAGTCACTTTCACATAAATCTAAGAAGCTTTCACAATTATACAGAAATTTCCAATAATTTTTGAACATAATTATCATTGATACCTAAGATAATTAAGTACACTGTAGCAATTTTTGATACAAGGTTGGGAGGATAAAAGTATTTGTAAAGTAGCCAATAATCTATTGGAGTCCATGTTCATGTTCTACTGCTGGGCACAGACTCTATCTCATTTCTCAGAGGGGTATGAAACAATGAGTTGGGCAAGGCTTTTTTTAAAAATAAAACCTTATCCCCATACTAGGAGTTTCTCCTGTATTGTGGAGGCAGTTTACAAACATATTATATTGCAAACGGACAAACATCCAGACCCGGAACAATTATTTGTAGGCTGTACAAATACTCATTCCGTGCGGGATTCGAACCCGTGGCCCCAAGCGTTGCAACTCATTGCTAAGCCACTACGCCACGGAGCCGTTGACTACATCTTTAACATATTTTTATTCCTTAGACACACAGATTTCATCACAATGTTCCAGAACATGATAAATTAGCACTTAAAATTGGAATTAACATTAATTCATTTATTTCAGTGGTGTAGACAGAGATCAGATTTGCTCAAAAATATAAACATATTATTAATCCTAATTAAAATATTATCTAAACCTAAGTTTTAGAATGGCGATTGTTTTGCAATTTAAATTTTACAATTTTTTTTACTTTGTTGGGAATCACATGGTCATCATTTAGCTTATCTAAGAAGTGCAATTGAGTATGCTTGCAGTCTGTTTAGTACACATCATCTTGCCATTTTGATACATTTCCATCAGTTATTATGTGTCTTGACAGCAAAATTATTCCTCATGCCTTTTTTATGATGGATGATCAAATATCACATTAAGTTTATTTGAACTGTATCATCTGAAATAAAAACATAAAAGATTGTTTGTTTTATTTTCATTTTTATTCAGACAGCCTTGATTTTGTAATTATTAAGACTGTGGGGTGTGCGATTGTGCTTAAAATAATGTTGATAATTAATTATTTAAAATAATAGAATTCCTCATTTACTTCAGCCATTAACTTAAAATTTTAATAAATTATTATAAAAAGAATTTATTATTATATTTCATTCATTCATTGCAGACTATCATAAAGCTACTAGTAAACATAGGCCTTCATAGGTTATCG